AGGAGAACCCTGCCCAACATCCTCTGGAGCCCTCTCCCTCTTTGAGGGCAACACTCCCTCGCCTCTCGTAGCTGTATGTTCTTTGACTTTCTCCGGTGAGGGGACATCTGGTGCAGCCTTGCCCTTCTTACCACCTACACGAACTTCAACATGTTCATCATCATCGGTGTCGTGCTGCACGTTCTCCATGTCATCGTCATCGTCCTTGTTGAGAGCAGCATCTCCATCTAGTTCATCTTGTGTATCAGCAAGCTCTTGGGAACTGTTGTAGTCGTACCGGCCACGACAACCAGTTGGCCGATGTGTCCGTTCTACAACAAATGTAGTGAACCGCCTCGCAACCGCGTCTCTGCCAGAGCCATTGAGGGACGTCCAACCCTCAACCAGCTTCCCAAGCAAGCTGGTCATTCCGGATGCAAACTGCCCAATTAGATGCTCAACAGGTGCCCTCGCCTGTGCACGAAACAAGAAGCAGCAATAACCAACCATATTAGATTCACTTGCACCAGATAAAAAATAATCCAAAGCAACCATAGATATATATCCTTGATTACCTCAGTAGGGCAAGACGGAGCTGAGTGCACGTCCATCCACTTTCCAAAATTTTGAGGCCCCCCAAACACGCTGTAGTCTATAGCATGCTTGGCCATCAGCTGGAAATAACCAAAAAATAGCTAGGATGTAAGAGAGAAAATGATGAACACTAACTAACAGTTCATGTATTGCAAATAAACAAAAAAAGAGGAAGAGAATAGAAGTTTCAGCATGGATGACAGAGTTGCCATGTGGAGTGAGACATGGATACCATGCGCAGACAGTCTTGGCTAACAAGGTAGTCATCTCTTGTTAGCCACAGACGGTTGCCACATGAGGATTTTTTCATATGTTATGCAGCAAAAAAATGTAAGAATGCCGTGTAGAGAAAGAAACCAGAACTAACCTGCAGTTTCCCATATTTGGTATCAGTTACCCTATCTGCAGCAAGCACAGCCTTGACAGCATCGTAAGTCCACACAGAAACAGCAAACTTGTGTGTAGGCGGCGGGCCTCCTGTTCCAGTGAAGTCCACAGTGGACAGATCAAGACAGTCTACGTACATGAGCTGATGTACAACAATTTGAAAAGGAAAAAATATTAGTTGCCATCATGATATTTTACAAAAACAAACTAATATATGTTCCTACAATCATCAAGTTGAAGTGCATGAAAATAAAAGAAGAAGTTGCCATCTGTCTGTGTTAGTTGCCATCATGGTATGATGGCAGTTGCCATCTTGTTATGATGTTAGTTGCCACAATGTCACCATCATGGTTGCCATGCATAAATAAAGGTGTTAAAGAGTGTTCACAAAAAGGACTGGTAAAAAATACCATTAAATGCAGTCGACAACCCTTGTGGTACATCTTGTTTGAGAATGCATCATGCAGGAAGTCAGCAATGAACTTACACCAATTCATGTTCTTCACATCTTTTAGTTTCGCCTGCACGACACAAATTTCAGGACAACAAGTTGCCGCATCAGAAATCAAATGGAAAAACATCAAAAAAACTGGCAGTGCCTAGCTTACACATGACATCGGAGCCAACATATTGAAGGAAATAAAGGAGTACGGATAGATCATTCACCAGGATGGGGAAGCATTTATTGCTTGGGCGAAGAAAAGTGGTCGGCGCGAAAACAGCTGAGATGAGGTACATGAGTAGCTTCATCTTAAAAACCTCTCCATGGGTTGTCATGGCCTGCAGCGAATCTGCCAGGAAAATCGTGTTCGGCATGGATTCCAACCCAGGAAACAAACGGGGAAACAACATTTCCTCGATCTTATTATTGACCTCATACGGGACTTTGATTTTCCCACGGGGCACACCTAAAGTGCAGAACACGGACTCCTCGTCCAACGACAGTCTTCCACATCCCGGAATCACAAATTCCCTGGAGGCGGGGTCGTAAATCTCACCAAGCCAGTCGCATACATGGTTCACTAGATTCTTGCATCGGACATCCATCAGTGCCTGCATACCCATCTCAGCAGCAGTTCCCTTCTGATCGTCGGTAAATCTGCCGGTCAATGAAGTCAGGCGTTCCTGCGAAGCCCTATTGCGAGTACGTTTCTTCTTCTACAAAACAGACAAATGATCATTTGTTGCCATGTTTTCACTGTCATGAAAATTTAGTTCCTAACAGACGATTGCAAGCTCGATGTGGCATCCAAAAACATATGGAGGGGGGAGGGAGGGGGTGGACAGTTACCTCATCGTCGTCTTTTCTCCGTCCAGTTGCCCGATTCTGCTGCGGTGCATCCATGAAATCATCATCATCATTTTGATGATCGCCGCGAGCCACTCTGCTGAGGTAAGAACAAACCAAATTGTCAGGGTGGAAATGAAATGTATGAAGTAAGAAGTTGCCACCTAACAGAATGTGCTTGCCACATGGGCTCAATTGAAATGGCAAATAGTGAAGGCAAATATCATATGAACACACACGCACCCCTATGATTGTCGAAAACATAAATGTGGCAATTAAACACACTGGCTTCATTTAAAAAATGTACAGATCGTAATGCACTTAAAACAAAATGTTGAAGTTGTCATGTTAGCACAAGATATTACGAAAGAAAGGCACAAATCTTCCACTGCACAAACATAAAATGTGGCAACTCACACCCTGTCCTCATACAAAAATGAGTTGCCATGTGTTCAAAGGCAAAATGTGCTAGGTTGAAATTGTCATGTTAAAATGCAACACAAATTCAAAAAAGCGTTGAAAACATCTATTGAACAAACTGTAATTGCAATGCACACACCGACCTCATATTAAAAATGAGTTGCCATTTAGTACGGCCAAATATGTTCAGATATCACAAGTCAGCGTGACAAAACACAAATTTGGGTCTGTAGTACAATAAATTTGCCACATTATCCTGCCTACAACATGGCAACAACCATGTGTTCACAGAAATACTTGCCACATGGAAAGCATATATGTGGCAACTGACACAGTTGATATGGAAGTTAGTTGCCATCCAGTGCACATAGTTGCTGAAACTGCCATGACTACCTATTTACTACACTTTAACATGCCACATTATCATGTCAGTTGCCACAAGTCAGCGTGGCAACACACAAATTTGGGTCTGTGGTACAGTGAATTTGCCACATTATCCTGCCTACAACATGTCAACAGCCATACTGTGTTCACAGAAATACTTGCCACATGAAAAGCATATGTGTGGCAAGTGACACAGTTGATGTGGAAATTAGTTGCCATCCAGTGCACATAGTTGCTGAAACTGCCATGACTACCTATTTACTACACTTTACCATGCCTACATCGTGGCAACAGCCATAGCATGTGCACGAAATTAGTTACCACATGAAAAACATATTTGTGGCAACTACCACAGTCGATCAGGAAATTAGTTGCCATACGATGCAGATAGTTACTGAAAGTACCATGTTTGCATTCATACTGCACTTTTGAAGAACAACTACATAGATCTAGGGTTCAATGCCAACTACCATAACTTGAAATTCATCAACAAAATTCTCCCTGCACTGATCGCAAATAGCATTTCGAGGCAATGAGCAACTACCGGACATAAAAACGACGGTCCAATCCCAAAGCACAACCAGGATGTGGCTTCGGACAAGCCGAACCACACCGGCGTGACCGCCACCGCGGCGGCGACGAAACTGTTCAATGCCATCGAAAACAGCAAGCGCAAGACCCCGCCGGCGCATCGCGAACCCGCCTGAATCTCGATGAATCTCGAGCGAAGCATCGACCACGGAGGGGAAGGGAGAAATGCAGGCAATGATTTTGAGTGTGGGAGGAAGCATTACCTTCAATCTGTAGGCGCTCCGGCGAAGACGCTTCGATCCGGCGAGTCCCACCGACGGCCGCGAATGCCGTCGACTCTTCCGCCTCCGCCGTCGCCTTCTCCTCTCGCCTTCTCCTCCAATCGACTGAACTGCGGGGTGGGTTGTGCGAGTAACTGAGGGGAGGAGTAAATGAAACCGTGAGGGGAGGGGGGCGAAGTGCGCGACGTGTTTGACGTCAACCACGGTCGGGCGTGGCGTGCGGGCGCAGAGCAGTTCCATCGCACGCCCCCGAGTGGCAACCGCTGACCGCGGGGAGGCAACCGACGTATGGGCGAACTATGTCACACACCACACACGCGCCTTGTCCTACGTGGCACACAAAATCAGCCAAAACGTGCCAAGATTCGTGCAGAGACTGTTGGACGGCGATGGAGGCGTGTGGTTGAGATGGCTAACACCCACACGTGTGGGCATTAGTGTTTTCGTATCTAAAACTCGGGCCTCGGTGTCGTCTCTTATTGGGCAGGATCCTGATGTCCGATCTCGCATTTTGGTGGCTCTTCGGCTTAGTTGCCGGCTTTGTCTTTCCTTTCTTATCCGGCCTGCGTGCCGTGTCTAGCAGGGTGCCATATATCCGTCATACTTTCGTGCTCGTCGTTGCTTGCACGTGTTTGGATGAACTGGTGGTGGCTTTGTTCCTGGTGTTGCTGTGTTGGCTCTGTGACTCTGTCGTGTGGCTTTGTTTATAAAGTCGGGCCTAAGCCTTTTCTTAAAAAAACGTGCTGAAACCGATGATGCAAAACCAAATGATCTACCGACTGCCTCAGCACACGAAACAGTAGCGTGCAATGTGCTGCCTGGGCAGAAGGGCCTCCACGTGAGTCCCCGGCGCATGAACTTACGGCAACGTTTGACTATGGTCATTGCTACTTGCTCTTCGTGAAATCACTTCCCATCAAACGTGGCGCGCACCCCATGCATGTTGGCCACGCCGGCCATCGGTGAAAGGCCGAGGTAACAGCGCACCACGGCCGGCAGCATGCACCGTCCACGTATCCGGACCGCACCGCCGTTCACGACCTATATAAGTGGCCTCCGCTCTCGGGTGAAGCAGAGCATATCAGCAGGCTAGCGGAGACAGACTTCGAGGACGTGTTACGAGCAGACCGCGAGCAATGGCACAGCAGGGGAAGAAGGCGACGGAGATGCAGGACCCGGAGATCAGGGCAGAGCAGGTGAAGAAGGCGCCGGAGCTGCAGGACTCGGAGACCCGGACACAGCAGGTGAAGAAGGCGCCGGAGCTGCAGGACCCGGAGATCCGGGCAGAGCTGGACCGCCGCGCCCGCGAGGAGGGCGAGACCGTCATCAAGAGCGGCGCCGGCGGCAAGACCCTCGAGGCGCAGGAGCGCCTGGCAGAAGGTACGTGCGCTGGCGTATGCGTATATATATACCAGTTGTTCTAACTTGTTTCTTGAGCCATTGATGTGCTAACCTTGTGTTGATACGCTTGCGTGCTGCAGGGCGTAAGAAGGGCGGGCTGAGCCGTGCGACTGGCTCCGGCAACGAGCGCGCCGAGGACGAGGGCGGGGTGGTGATCGAGCCGGACGAGAAGAAGCTCGAGGAGGTCAAGAAGGATCTCGGGCGCGAATGATCGAGCGTGGTAGACGATGTACGGCCTCACAGTCCGGTCCTCCTATATATCGTACGTGTGTATGAAGGATGTAGTGCTATGGATGTACGCAGTAGCAGGCTAGGTTGAAGGATGTAGCGTACGTAGTAGCGTTGATGCACGTCTTCGTGTTCGCACGGACATGCGCGGTACGTATGGCTGGCTACAAAATTTTGGTCCCGGGATTGTATATATGTAGCTCGATCGTAATCTATGTACCCTGGCTACAAAATTTTGGCATGTATGTACGTAGCCGTAGCCCCTCTATATATGTAGCTCCATCGTAAATCTATGTACCCTGGCTGCAAAATTTTGGCATGTATGTACGTTCTGTAGCCAATGATCCCTGGATATATGAGTTGATAAATAGTGGCCGTGTCTGCGAAAACTCCACACGAACTTCTTTCTTACATCGAGTTGATTCAATAAACAATGTAAAGCAAAATTTGTTACTTCCTTCCATATTAGTACTTCCTCTTTAAACTAATATAAGAGTGTTCAGATCACTATTTTAATTATCTAAACCTTTTTATATTAGTTTACAGAGGTGTATTTTTTATCACAAGACATTCACACCTAACGCTCATTCTCCCTCCGTCCCATAGTGTAAAATAACATTTTACATTATGGGACGGTAAAAAAACATCTTACATTATGGAACGGTGGGAGTACCAATTACTTACACTATTGTTCCAAGTACAAAGAATTTATGGCCAGTCTAAAGATGAATACATCCAAAGAAGAGACTTGACACACTACAACACGTCCTTGAAAGTTAACAAAGCCCAAGAATGGCCCACCCGATCGAGAAAGCGCTGCCTAAGATGAAGGGAGTATATTCGGAAGGCACTTCTCGATGAGGAAACTTCACGATGATGAAATAACCCGTGGTGTTTCTAAGCAAGGTTTTGCAGCTTCCTAACCAGAAATGAACTTATGCTAGGAGCCTTGATTCAGATCGGCTTCGGCGATTTGGTGGAAAGTTTCGGCATTTCCCATTTGGCGCCACAACGTGCATTTTGTTAACTGGCCCTGTGGCGTCCCTAAATGGGCCGGCCCATCTAGGCGCTGGTTGACCATTTTTTTGAAATTTTTGTGAACTTTTTTTAGATTGATGAACTTTTTTGAATATTGATGAACTTTTTATAAATTTAATGAACATTTTGTTTTGAAAATGGATGAACTTTTTTTTATTTATGAACTTTTTCTAAAAATACATGAACTTTTTTTCAATTTCTATGAGCTTTTTTCAAATTTAATGAACTCTTGCGAAATTGGATGAACTTTTTTCAATTTGAATGATCTTTTTTTAAATTGATGAACTTTCTAAAAATTTATGAACCTTTTTTAAAGATATGAGCATATTTTTTCAAATGGACGAACTTTTTTCTTTAAATCTGTAAACCTTTCTTTATTTCATATTTTTATTTTTGCAAAAAAATTAAAAAAATTAAGGCAGCACGCTAGTGGGCCGGTCCATGCTAGCAGTGCTACAGGTGCCGGATCGTTAATGGGCGCCTGCAGCGCTGTATAGCAGCTCCCCTTTAGATCTTTTTAGGGTGCCTTACATTTTAGATCGTATATGAGGGCGATTTGTTCTACACCAGGCCCAGGCCCGTTTAGATGGGCTTTAGGCCAGCGATGGCATCCCCATAGCCCAATCCACGTAATACTAGTTCATTAGTGGGCCAGGTGACAGCTACGAACGATCTGGTCCCCACAACCCAATCCACGTAGTAGTAGTTCATTAGGGCATGGCCTGCCCCGCGGGTACACAGGTTTGGAATAACCACCCTATCCTAGTTTATTGATCCTTTTTGTATTTTTTATTGGCCCCCTTCGTAATTTGTGTTATATTTTTATCTTAAAATTGCCGCAGGTCCAAGCAAGTTCAGAACTATTACCTCTGTCATGGTTTGTTGGTTCCCTTCATAATTTATGCTCTATTTTGATTTTAAAATTATTTAACAAAATGTTAATGCATGTCATCAAAAATAATATCATTGGAAACTACATTTAAATACAAATATAAAGATATAATTTTTAGTGACATACATTAATATTTTGTTAGTAAAATCTCAAAATTTGACACACAATATAAAAGGAACCAATAAACCAGGACGAAGGTAGTAGGCTCGGACAGAAAGCTATAGCCCTGCAGGAAGTGTAGCTTGCAGAAAAGTCCACCTCTCCAAGTCTGAAATGTAGCTTGCAGAAAAGTCCACCTCTCCAAGTGTGAAATGTAAAGAAAGCAGAAAACTGGACCGAAGGGTGCAAGGAGAGAGGCAGAGATAGGAAGGAGAACGGCATGCATGCATGTGAGAAGATAGGTATTGCATGATGGTCCACAAGGTAACTTTAGCAGTAACATAAGGTCCAACTCAGCACATTTGCTTATGTGGTAATGATTTAATAAGAAGAGAGATTGATTGAGTAACATAGCTAGTTACTCATACCATGAGTAACATCACACGTATCAAGACAAGATGGGTCTACAAGCTAATAAATGAAATGTTGCATAAGAGCATCTCCACTCGCGCCCCCAATATGCCCCCAAGGCTCTTTTTTTAGCGCCGGCCTAAAAAATCGGTCCAGTCGCGCCCCCATGGCCTTGTTTATCGCCGGTTTGGGCCGAAATAATAGTCGGCGAATCTGAGCCGAACCCGAGCCCACGGGGGTTGCCTGGGGGCGCCGGCTGAAGCGAAAAGGCGCGTGGGTCCACTCTGTCGGTGAGAGACGGACCTTTTTCCCGCCGATCCCCCGCTCCCCTCCCCATTTCCCTCCATTCTCCCCTACTGCCCCTCTTCTCCTGCCATTCTCCTCCCTCTCCCCTCCATCTGGCCGCCATGCCGCCGAAGAAGTATACGTCCCCTCGCGTCGCCGCCGGTGCCGATGCCACCTAGCTGAAGCAAAGGAAGCCAAGGACGCCGCCGACAAAACCACCAGGCATGTCGAACACCGACTGGAAGGTCGAGGTTCAGCGCCGGGAGGCTGTCACCATCGACCGGCGGAACAGGCTCAACGCCAAGAGGGACCAGAACGCGGCCGCGTCGGTGGCGGCGGAGCAGGCAGAGGCGTCTCGCGCGGCGGAGCAGGCAAAGGTGTCTCTGTTGGGAATGTAGCATGAAATTTCAAAAAATTCCTATGCTCACACAAGATCTATCTAGGAGATGCATAGCAACGAGAGGGGGAGAGTGTGTCTACGTACCCTCGTAGACCGAAAGCGGAAGCTCTTGACAACGTGGTTGATGTAGTCGAACTTCTTCTAGCTCTGACCGATCAAGTACCGAACGTACGACACCTTCAAGTTCTACACACGTTTAGCGCGACGATGTCCCTTGCCTTCTTGATCCAGCAAGGTGTCGAGGAAGTAGATGAGTTCCATCAGCACGACGACATGGTGACGGTGATGGTGAAGTGATTCGCGCAGGGCTTCGCCTAAGCACTACGAAGATATGACTGGAGGCGTAAACCGTGGAGGGGGGCGTCGCACACGGCTAACGATTGTTGGTGTGTGCTTGTGAGGCGCCCCTCGTCACATATATATAGGTGGGAGGGGAGGGAAGGTAGCCAGAGCGCCCTAGGGCTTGGCCGCCCCCCCTAGGGGCTCCGCCTTGCCATGCGCCCCCTTTCTTTGTATACTGAAGGGGGAAGGAAAGAGGGGAGAGGGGGAAGGAAGGGGGAATCCTATTCCCTCTCTTTCCTTTCCTCCTCCCCTTTTCCTTCTCCACTTAGGCCGGCCCATACGGGGGCGCACCAGCCCCTTGTGGCTGGTGTGTTTCCCCTCTTGGCCCATAAGGCCCATATCTTTTGTCGGGGTGCCCGAAACCCCTTCCGGTGACTCGATATGTACCCAGTACCCTCCGGAACACTTCCGGTGTCTGAATATTATCGTCCTATTTATCAATCTTTACCTCTCGACCATTTCGAGACTCCTCATCATGTCCGTGATCTCATCCGGGACTCTGAACAACATTCGGTCACCGAATCACATAACTCATATAATACTAAATCATCATCCAATGTTAAGCGTGCGGACCCTATGGGTTCGAGAACTATGTAGACATGATAGAGACAATTCTCTGGCTAATAACCAATAGCGGAACCTGGATGCTCATATTGGTTCCTACAAATTCTACGAAGATCTTTATCGGTCGAACCGTAATGACAACATACGTTATTCCCTTTGTCATCAGTATGTTATTTGCCCGAGATTCGATCGTCGGTATCTTCATACCTAGTTCAATCTCGTTACCGGCAAGTCTCTTTACTCATTCCATACTACATTATTCTGCAACCAACTCATTAGTCACTTTGCTTGCAAGGCTTCTTATGATGTGTATTACCGAGAGGGCCCAGAGATACCTCTCCGATACTCGGAGTGACAAATCCTAATCTCGATCTATGCCAACCCAACAAACACCTTCGGAGATACCTGTAAAGCATCTTTATAATCACCCAGCTATGTTGTGACGTTTGATAGCACACAAGGTATTCCTCCGGTATCCGGGAGTTGCATAATCTCATAGTCGAAGGAATATGTATTTGACATGAAGAAAGCAATAGCAATAGAACTGAACGATCAATATGCTATGCTAACAGATGGGTCTTGTCCATCACATCATTCTCCTAGTGATGTGATCCCGTTCATCAAATGACAACACATGTCTACGGTTAGGAAACTTAACCATCTTTGATTAACGAGCTAATTTAGTAGAGGCTTACTAGGGACACGATGTTTTGTCTATGTATCCACACATGTATCAAGTTTTTGGTTAATACAATTCTAGCATGAATAATAAACATTTATCATGATATAAGAAAATATAAAATAACAACTTTATTATTGCTTCTAGGGCATATTTCCTTCAGTCTCGCATGACAGAGCAGGCAGTGGCGTCTCGCGCGGGGATGATGAATCCACCCAGCGGCCACGGCCCGCAAGTTGCCTGGAGCCAGCAGAGCGTTGGTTCGCCGGACGA